AAGGTCCCTTGCACCTATGGTAATAATCACTGAATTCATATCACAGCAAGTGAGCAATGACAAGCTTCTCCAGGAGAATCAACAGCACCAAAAGATAACACTTAGGAGAATCCACAAAGCTACTCTTCTTCTCCTCGTCTCCTTTGATGCTGCAAACATTTCTCAGTTGCTCCATTTACACTCAGCACGAAGCTGATTTAATTCAGTTGATGTTAAGTTGACCATCAATTTTTCATCAGTAACACATGGTAACATTTTACTTTTAAAGTCTTTTCAAAGATAAGCCAAGAAAGTAGCCCCAGAAATTATCTTGGCTATCTGAATGTTTCTTTCTTCAGTCATTTTCCATATTCCTCCATGCTTCAGCTCCTAGAAACCAGTGCTACTTCTGTTTCTATGTTAGATTATTTTATAGACCCACGTAAATGTGAGATCATACAATATATATTATTGTTTTTGTTCTCAGGTACTTTACTTTACTTAGCATAAGATCATCAAGGATATTTATTTATTTATTTATTTAGAAAATGGCCAAATTTCCATCCCTTCTATGCCTAAGTATCAGTTATAGATACATTTTATACTTTATGCATCTCTTCCATAATAACATTCATATTGTGCCTATGTGTGTGTTACTGTATTGGACAATGGATACCCAAGAAATTCCATTGAATCACGAGATCAGAACTTCAATTGGATTCAAAAGAATCCAAGAGATTCACTTGCTGGGTCACATGTAAGAAAAATTTTCATCTTTTTGTAGTGCTGCATTGTTTCCTATGGCATTTGCTACAATTGAGACAGTCGTCCATGGTACTGTAGGATTCTTTCTCCTTTACCAAAGCTGCATTAATATTCCTGGTTTTGAACACAGCATTCCTAAGTGTTGGAAATTCACACATTATTATTGTTTTGCCTTTGAATGTCTCCTTGCTTGTCAGTGATGTTGACAGCCATTTTCATATATTTGAGTAATTTCTGAGTCATGGGAGAATAATGTTTCACCCAATGCCATTCACCATTTACCACTACAACTATTAGTTAATATTTTTCTTGCATCTACTTTTGATACAGACAAATGAGAATATCATATATTTCTGATATTACCCACCGTTATACATTAGTATATATACATATATCAAGAATATAATAATAACATAATATATTAATATTATATAATGTATATCCAAAACAATGTCTTTCATTTTTAGGATACCAGTTAACTGTTTTAAAATTTTTATTTAGAGAAATACAAAACAAAACAGTAAAAGGGTACAAGTAATAAAGAATATTAAAAAAAGCAGTAAGAAATCACTAGTCAATAGATTACATATTGTCATCTTAGAAATAGTTGCTCTAGTTACAAAATTAAAGCATACAAAGTAGACATTCAAACAGTGAACCTGCAAAAAAAGTGTTCAATGATCCAAAAAAAAAAAAAAAACTTAGTAATATGGTCATCTATCTTACACACCTAAACACACTTGCACTCCTATCCTTTAGAGCACTTTATTTTCCTCTCTTTTTTACAATAGCAATTACACATTTTGGGCTTTATTACTTCCACAGTTCTTACTACTTTTTATGGAAGAGAATAAAACCAAATGTGACAAAACAAAGCAGAGTCATTCAAAACAAAGAATGGACATAGTACATGATGTAAAAAGAGAATGCAAGGTAGTCAACAATTGTGACCATAATGCCTCTTGCTACCTTATGAAGAATTGCCTATATCATCAGAATACCAATTAACCTTAAACATAGAAAACTGAATGTACTCAACAATGTTTTATAAGTAAGTCAATTCTTTAAGATAGTAATTTTATGTCATTTGATTCTAATCAGAGCCACAATTTTAAAAATGCCTAACAGAACAGAATTGTAAAAGTTTGAAAACTACACTTACGTATCCCAAATTATCATCTCTTACACAAAGCAATATAATCAATAAATATATGCTCATTAAAACATTACTTAGAGTAGTTGTCTAAATACTACTCTTCATCAATCAAGAAATAAATGTGCAACCCAAGAACATGATAGTGATAACATTTCTAAAAACCAAGCAGATGTGAAATCTTAAGGTTCCTATACAGACATATTTTCCTAGTTGATTTTTACTTCAGAGTGTCTTAAAATGCACAGTTGAAATCATGCAAATAATAATGTGTATAGGTTAAAATCCAAAATTGTAATTCATTGATTTGAGGAAAACTTCTTTAATAAATCAAATCCAGAAATATGAAATCCAAAACCTAGAGTGAGACTAACTTTAATCTATAAAATGCTGTAAACACACATTTTACTGAAAGTGATCTTTCCAATTAACTGTAATTTTGAACTTTGATTCTGCACCCAAAAAGAACACAAATTACAGTGCATTGTGTTCCAGGAAAATGTTACAACCTTGCATCACAACCCTTAATAAAATACTCTTGAGAATCAACTTGGGATATTTGTACAGGAACTTGTTTTAACTCAGAAGTCTGCAAGTCCTTCAGGGAAGAACACTTCCCTCTGTGGAAGCAGCAGAATTAAACCCATACTTCTCATGAATAATTGTCAAAGTCACAGAGCCTTGCAAAGCACATTTCATGTCTAGCTTACTCCTTGACCTTTGAACCTTTCACCTGGGTCCTCTCATATTGATCTCTGCCTACCTGGACATCTGGCTCGTGTCACTGGTCTCTTCAGACTCTGAGTATCTTTTCTTTGTTTCACATATGAAGCGAGATGTGAGGTAGAGTCAAAAATTACTGTTTATCGAAAAGTGTCTCATGACATGCCAGGGAGATTGTAGGCAGTACCTGGATTTCAGTCCCAAAGCTGTTCTCTATAAAAAGAAAGAATATAATAGAAGACTCCAGAAAATTATTTCCCAAGGAGCATTCCCTGGCCAAATCTTTACAATACTTAAGAAGTATTTGCAATGTACAGACCTCAAGCCTCACTTTCAATTATTACTGAGTCTCCCCACCACCACCAAATAACAGAAATTAAACTTTAACTTTTGGACCAGAAAACTATATTCTACTGAATTTCTGAAACTAGCAGTAATCTAGATTGTTGGATCCTTATCAATTTGGAAAGGAACAGGTCAGAACAACATAAAATCATTATTGTTTTCTTTTTGTACAGGAAGGAATTCCCAGGTTCTTTCTTTTAAACTCAGGGCTACGAGACTTACTCATGTAAAACCTAAGCTCCTCTCAAATGCAGGCTCTGAGTATATTTCTAAAGGAGTGCAAATTTATACCTCAAATACATACTTTTATCCTTATTACATTAAAATTTAATTTCCCATAACTAACATAGAGAAGCAGTGACAATAAGAAATATTTGTTCAACATTTATAACTGTCTATTATCACACCTCAGACTATGCAAAAGCCTTGCAACAGACAAACATAGTATGATTCAAAGACATTACAATAAGCAAAGTAAATATGGCAAAGTAATTTTTTAAATGCTGTGTGAACTCAGACAGAGGTAGAATAAAAAAAGTCAAAATTCACAAAAGAATAGAGAATACTGATTTCAGGAGATGGAGAGCTAGAAAAACCATAGGTCTTGAGTGAAAATAAGAGAGATAACCACTACAATTTCTAAAGAATATGGAAAGGTAGATGATTATAACACCACATTGTGTAAAAATTTTCCATGATGGAAATCTCAAGTTCTATCACCACACGTGAAATAAAAGCTAAGTACAAAGTCGAACACAGGTCAAGAAATGTCTAGTGAAGAACATGTGTAAATTTTGGCATGAGATTTTCATGTTTAAAAGTCTCTTTAATAGCAACCATACGATGATTACACACTTTGGTGGGATCTTGATATCACGGTGGGTTGAAAGAAACAGAAATGCAAGGAGCAAAGTATTTACAATGTTTGGAATGTCTGAATACAGAAATAATGTTTGGTACCACACATAACAAATGTATGAGATTTTTACTGAATGGAAAATTGAAATCAAAGTAAATGAATGAAAATGTGAAATCAAAGAAAATACACACATTCTATGGGAAACATTCATTAGTAAAATAAAGAACTATTGGTTTCCTCTCTGTACACAGGACTAAATTGAGCTCCTCTACTTAAAATGGGAAGATTAAAAATTGAATCCAGTTGGAATGGCAGTGGTTTTCTAAATGTACCTTGTGTGTTCTTGTTTTCAAGTACATCTAGTTCTGCACAACACAATGCTCATAATGTTAACAATACCACAGTGAAGTAGCCTAACAGTTAAGGATTGTGTTATGATGTTTTGTCTTTGTCTCCTAACTACACTTTGTTTCTGCTGTGCTGTTGATTGAAATCAAGTTCTTATATGGGCCTAGCAGTGGGGCTACCATTAAGCCACATCTGCAAAGTGTGGCCAAAATTATTATAATGAAACAAGGACTTTCTAAAAAGTAAGTTGCAGTCAAAACTGTCAAAAATGATAATATGTTTTTAAAAAATTATTTATACAATACAGTCAAGAGATTGTACTTAAGTTACAAAATATAAACGTGGACTGACATACATGATTAAAAGATAGAAATCATAATGTTTAATGAGGAGGGAGTAATAAAAGATTACTAAAAGAATCAAAAACCAATAAAATATATAGTCTTTACATATATGCTACATATATGAAACAAATGACACATTGAGAAAACTAAATTAAAAATGTAATTGACAATGGTAAAGAAAAGCTTTTTATGCAGAAAACAGAGAAAAAATGATACACAGAGAGGTAAAGAGAAAGGCAGTGATTAAGGAGGTCAGAATGCTCCAAGAGCAAAATAAAATTTTACTAATCATAAGTATAAAATTTAATTTCTTTAGAATTTGTTTCAATCATAGATCAATGTAAAAATGTCCATAGCTATCAACTTTTATCTACCTCTGCATGAATAGTCATTAAAATTTGTTCCTTCAGCTTTGCTATGGACACATGCATATAGTACTGAAGATATGAATAGTAGACCTATGATCATGATGTGTGCTGTGTGCTCACTTCTTACACATGGACCTGCGGACACACTGCTCACGAGTCATGAGAATGAATGGACTAGCAGTAGGGAAACAAGCACTTGTTAAGCCTGCAATTTCAACTAGCCACCAAGCACTTCGATCATAAAGAGAGAACCAAACAATCATGATGTAAGACAGGGCATAGAAAGACACAAAGGTACAGACCAGGATGATGATGCTTTGAGAGGCTCTGGTCTCAGGGGAAGATCTTGTTGAGATGTTGTTTCTGTGAATGTGTTGTGTTTGCTGCTTGTGCCTGTATAGAATGAAAACCATGGAGCCACTGCTCCAGATCATAAGTGTCAAACACAAAACATCGTATGATAATGACAATGGCACAAATATGCCTTTGTCTTTGCTAGTAATGACAGCTGAACAGTAATGAAAATTTAAAGTGTTTGTGATATTTTCATTGTTCCTTTTGTCACTCACAAGCATAGGAATTCTGATGTTTAGCAGCATGTGTATGACCCAACAAATGATGGTACAAGGGCCAATGCACTTTAGAACTTTTACCTTCTGCTCTGTCCACCTGAAGCTTCTGGGGCTAACAGAGACGGCCTGGAAGACACTCAGCAGACAGGTAGTGTTGAAAGAAACACCTCTAGCCACACCGTGAACATAGAAAAACAGTTTGCATCCAACATTAGTAAGGAAGTCTTCCATCCCAAGCACTGCCATGGTCTGTGGGAGTCCTCGGGAAAATATGAACAAGCAGTTGGCCACAGTCAGTTGCCTGACAATCAGATCTGTGGATCTGGACCTGCGCCCACTGCAGTAAATGCAGACTGAATAACATAGCAGTGAGAGATTCCCCAGGCCTCCAATGACAACAGGGAATAGAAAGAGGATTGCAAATCTCACATCCATAGATGTTATTCTACTATGCAGGATTCATAACCATGTTCCAAAACACAAGATTCTGCACAGAAAGATAAGGTGTGGTCAAAATATTTCAACAAAATGAATCCAAAAATTAACATTTTCATTCCTCAAAATTCGGTCTCTAGTATATATCTTGAAGTTTGTTTTTGAATCTTGAATGTTAATTGTCATTTTATAGGGCTTAAATGAATATTTCTATGCAATTAATAGGTTACCAATCCTAAAATACTTAGGGATCACAATACGTGTTAACGGTTATATTTCTGAAGGAAATGCATGTTAAGTAAAGGGAAGGTTTATGACTCATCTAAGTGTTAACAAGTCTTTAGGACCAGTGTGCCAGGCTTCAGTGATACTTTGCTAATTGCTGTGCTGTATTGTCAAAGCATAATAGTGGTGGTGATGTTGGATATATGTCATATTGACACATTTGAAATATTCCTATAGAAATAATTGCCATATTTATAATATCCCATATTTGTCACTGATAATCCCCATTAGGTGTGAATGCTTATTTTATACCACAAATCATTTAAAGAAAATATTCAAAAATGTTTAAGATAAAAAATGAGAGTCTGGCATGGTGGCTTATGCCTGTTATCCCAGCACTCATAAGACTGAGGGACAGGATTGTTGTGAGCTGGAGACCAGCCTTGGCTACAAAGTGAGCTCAAGACCAGCCTGAACTGCATAGACAGACCCTGTCTCCAGAAGAACAATTTTTTTTAAATTGCCTGTTTTCTCTCATCCCCAGTTGAATTTTGATGAACACATGTCAATGTTATCATGGCAATTAAATTTTGTCAACATCAGTTAACAAAGAAATTATATGTAATATTGATCTGTTCTTCTAAAATAATTTCATAGATATGAAATTTCAATCACAGAACATGAATTTAACTCCAGTACATAGATTACTATTTTTCTTATTTTTTAAAAATAAATTAATAGAATGTCATTAGAGAAAGATCATAAAGTACATCATGTATGACAGATGGAATTTTGAGTCTTTATACCACACATGATGTTGGCCCATAATGACATGGAGACAGAAAATAACGTGAAAGATTTTAGACTTGAAAAATATAACAAACTGGGTTTAAATAAATATCAACTTGACATTCTTAATTTTATGCAATTTAAATCACTCAATTATTGAGTTAATTTTTTATGGAAACTAACTCTGTATACAGCAAAAGAAAATTTTCCAGCATAGCCAGCAGACCACAAACATTTTCAGAGAGACCTAGAAACCACTGTCATTCATTACCTCAAACTCAATGAGAGAAAAATCATTCTAAAACAGAAATTGCCATCTGAGCACTTTGCTTATACAGGAATTGTTGGTTTAATATTCTTGAGCACACTCATTATCAAAAAGAAGATCTTATACTGAAGCGATCATGCCAGTTGCACTGTGATGTCTACAGAGCAGTCTGAACACCAGACTGAATTCTTGGTTGGAATCTTACATATATTCTAAGGTAGGTGATATTATTGCTTGGAGCAGTAGTCACACCCATCTTTCACAGGTGAGCAGTTAGAGGCTGGTGAGATCTAAGACATCCAGTCTCTGGCCACAGCTCAGACTGGGCCTCAGTAATCACACTTCCTCCCTGTGCATAGTTATCACTCCAGGTGAATCAATTTTCTAGGCTTGGCGACTCACCCACATATAGACTCTTAATCAGCTCAACCTCTATTTCACAGATAGAACAGAAAATACTCACCTAGCTCTTACCTGTTTCAGGAACACCAGGCCAAGGTCACAGTCATAAACATTCCTGCTTGTGTGAGAGTGAGGTTACCAGAGCCCAAAATATGGATCGTGATTGTGTGATCTCATCTCCCTCTGAGATATAATTATCATTTCACTTGTAGTTTTCATGACAGTGCATGTTCAGGCAATAGAGACTATTGCAAAAAATAACTAAGGAAACAAATATGTTTTGTATAGGTTCCAATTCCCAGACACAGTGAGGAGTTTCTTTGGGCATTTCCACACAGAAGAGAGTTTCAGTGGTCTGCAGAGTGCTTCCTGAGCAGATACTGGAGCACAGCCCTATGGAATGGAATGAGAAAACTTTGGTGCAACAAAGATAAAGAAAACTCAGAACTCAGCGAAACCTGTGTAATTTCCTCAATTACAGTAGCTACTTAAATATATGTGTGTGTGCTTTGATAAACACATTTGTTTAAAACATATATATATATATATATATCTTAAATATACATAATTACATGACTAGGAAATATATATATATATATATATATATATATATATATATCTTAAATATACATAATTACATGACTAGGAAATATATATATATATATATATATATATATATATATATACTTGTGTATATAAATGTGAGAATACTTAATTACTTCCTAAGTCATTGTAAAGATCACAATATTGTTATCGACTATCATTGCCGTGATTTAAAATACATCCCTAAATCTTTCTACTACCTACAATGAGATGATGATTTTCTGTGCAGCTAACATCAGGACCTCAGCACCAGTGCCCACTGTTCTGCTTTTCTGAGGACACATGATTTTTACCCTACATATATACGAGATCCTGTAGTATTTCCTCCTTTGTGCCTGTATGTTTTCTCATAATATAAAACTTTTCTATTTATCAATCTTTTTCACAGTGATGGGTTATCATTCTTTTAGGATAGGTAGTTACTTATTTTCTGTTTGTTAATTTGATTGATTTTTTTCTCTTTGTTTTTGAGACAGAATATCACTATGAAATTAAGGCTGACACTGAAATCTCATAGTATCCCAGGCTGGCCTTGAACTCATGAAGATATTCATGCCTCAGTGTCCCAAGTGCTGGGATTACAGTCATGGCCGACATCAACAAGGTAGAATCAATAGGTTTTCAAAGTTTCTTCATACTACATGCTCTTTATTCATTCACTCACTGATGACCACTTAATTAGATTATATATCTTAAGCACTCTGAAGAGTGATACAAGGATCATGGAAGTGTAGCTATCAGTTCAGTATACTGATTTAATTTCATATATACATACTTATGTATGTATATATATATATATATGTGTGTGTGTGTGTGTGTGTGCGTGTGTATACACACACACACTCAGCAGGTTTGACAGTGTATATGATAGATTCATTTTTAATTCATTGTGTATACTCCATCCTATTTTCCATAATGGCAAAAACAATTTACATTCCCCCCAAAAGTGTCTGAAGATTCACATTTTGCAATAACATGATCATCTCAAAAGCCAGTCCAATAGGTGTGATGGGTTATCTCTCCAAGTTTTGAGTTTGCATTTCTTAATGATTCATGACTTTGAATATTTTTTCATAGACCAGTTTGCCATTTTCTTCTCTGAGAAGTGTCTGATCAGTATTATGCCTACTTATTTTTTAGATTGTTTATTAATAGAATATTATTTACACTCTATTTGCTTGTTTGATTTTTCTTTTTATTTATACATGTTTGTAGAAGACGATTACATTCTTTCTGAAAAGTAGATGGTACCTACATATTTACTGAAATGAAAGATTGATGACAACAGACAAGATTTTCAGGGAAGAATTCTACAATTGATATAAACAAATGATCCACAAGAAGATGGCTGAGTAGCAATCAATGTGTGTTTGAGGGAAAATATTCTTGCAGTCGAAGTAGGGTGATATATTGTAAGACAGAATGACAACTCCCAGTGAAAAACACTTTATCCAGAATAATTGTCATTCACTATTAAAAGAGAAATTAGATTAAAAAGAGCCAAGAGATTTTAAGATTCATGCACTCCAATTATAAAAGTTAATATATAGCACTCCAATTGTAAAAGTGAATATATACATATATATATATATATATATATATATATATATATATATATATATATACATACTTGATACAAGGGATTCCAGTAATTAACTTGCATTTGCCAGGAAGGTGCTTATGCCACTGAGCTAAGTTCCTGGCCAAGACTTATATTTTTGAACATCTCTACAAACCAAATATGTGATGTATAATTAACTTAAGTGCAATAAAACTATACATCATTATTCTGTGAAAAACTTTTAGAACTCATATTTTACTAGAAAATTTCATAAAAAATTATTTTCTCATGTTCAGATGATGTCCCTTGTTCCATGCTTTCTTTGCAATCCCTGGGATACCTCCCTATATCTCTTCCAAAACTCAATTGTTAGTAAAGTTTGACCAACTCCCTAAAGTATATAATGAGATTTTTATGACAAATTTCACTGAGTACTGCAGGATCCAATGGGATCCAATCCTTTCCTACCTGTCCATAAAGGCACAGGGCTCCAATTTCCTGCCTGATTCCTAGACATCCTCTGTACAAAAAAGGTGGAAAATGAGAAATTCCACTGAAGGATCCTCTGCTAGAAGGTCATCACACACAAGGCACTTCTGATCATATTTTGAATCACGTAAACATGTTTAGATGCACAATTTATGTTTATATTAAGAATGACAGAACACTGATCCCTTGTTTGGTTTTCTCTCTTCCCTAGGCACCAACCAGCCAGTTACCTGTCATCTGCTATTCTCAATCTGGTGACATGAATATGACAGAGAGCTATATCTTTTATTTGTCTTCAAGTGGGAGTCTGAAGAAGATGCAGAAAAAATGGGATTTGGGACTGTGCTCCTGTGCAGAGCCTGCACTCTTGAAGCAGAGACAGGTGTGGACTGATTCCCATGGACATGACAGAATTGAGACAGTGAAAGATGTGTGGAGTGAGACCGTGGGTCCATAGCAACATGCACTCTGTTGATTGTGCACAGTTTCTTGTGCAGCCCTTATGCATCCTGGTTGCTTGATCTGGATTCAAACAGAAAGGAGCATGAGTTCCACAATGCATAGGACAATAACCTAGACAACACTCTGCACTTCAAGGTGCCATAGAGATGTCACTGAATTATTTTGGATTTCATTTCAAATCATAGTAGTGCATCATGTATA